AAATTTATTTGGTATATCAATCTACGAGTATATTGGTACAAACGCCATCAAATCTTAACATTTTCGAATCTTAACATTTTCGACTTTGTTTTGAAACATTTAATATAGTTGAACATTGTTGAAAAATCATTCGTAAATTTAAGTTTCTTACCAACCTTTTTCTTTCTTTTTAAGTGGGAAAAATTATCAAATTACTTTTCCAGTCGTGTGTGAAAAGTGAGTACATACTAAATTCGACTTCATTGGAGATCAAGAGATACAACTTTATATTGTTGTTAAATTAATAAACCTATAATTGAATGATGTGAAGTATAATTCACACTTGTCTGCGTCAGTTTGAACAATATGTACGTGCGAAATATTGCTCTGTTTCTCATCTTAATGGTGTTTGAATCGACAAGCCTCTCTTGAAACATTGTTTAACAAGATTCACCGGTATATGGCTTTGATACACGTACATGGTTTAAAGGTGACGGTAAGCGAGTTAGCTTATCGTCTGTCATCCTGATCCCACCCACTCACCACCCGGTAGACAAAAAGTGTTGTTACCACGAATTACTAAATCGCTAATACTTTTTTTGCGTTAGCATTTATTGTCTCGAAAAGGTTCTTTTAGTGGATATACTTAGAGAAAGGAATTAGCAAAACTACGACCAAAAGGTACTCGTAGAATTAATATAGATTAATACTAATTCTTGATTTGAATTTTAAACTTATTAACACTAACTTTCAAAATAGCTCCATCTGTTATTCTTTCATCAAAACTATTCGAAATACAGCCTTTTGAAAACTTATTCTAAATTCTACTTATAAACAACTCTCAAACATAACCTGGTTTGAAACTTAAATATAATTAGCACAGAAACATAATGAGCGGGGACGAAGTGAACTGAAAGCTCGTAAACATTAACTTTGGTTGAACCGTGTCGCTTTAATACCGCACTTCAAATGTAGATGGCGTTAGGTGTAGTAATGTCGGAATTATACACTACGATTTTTGTCTGTAGTTAAGTAATATCCTATAATTTTTATGCTGTTCTATATTAAAACGTTTGTTATTTTGAATTCTAAATAAGATAAAAATTATAATTACTTAGTTTAAAGTTAATGTGCTGCGCCCTAACAGGGTGTTAATTGTATATTAGTTATAATATAATGCGTGGACTTGTAACGTCATAACAGTTATTTTTATTTCTTAAAAATTGCTCATTGATGATAGGTCATTTATTCTGTGACCACTACCAAGAATCGAACTAAAGATCTCGTGCATAACAGTACGTAACGTACCTACAACTTATTAACCATTAAACAAACACGAAAATCATTTATTCTAAAGTATCTTATCTACTCTTCGAATAAAGAACTCATAATTCAAGACGCAATCTCCACTCAAATGTATTCCAATAACAAAATTATTTATGAATACCAATTAAACTTATCATAAGTTTGCCACATCAAATAAACCAATAAATCACCAAAGCCAATATTGCCAACAAATAAAAAGATAAGAGCTGGCAACACATTTGTGTGTACGCCAAAAGTCTTTGAAACTTTTCCTTGCCAATGTTGCTAGAGCAAAAATAACGATTTGGCAGCGCAATCAAAGCAGGTTATACGGTATTTTGTTGAGGAAATTGTAGTAGTCTCCGGCAGAAGAATGGCTAAAGCTTTTTAGTATTTTTAGTACCTATACAAACTTTAAAATTGTCTGTGAAACCTATTTGGCCTCCTTTCTTATTGACTATTACTCATCATCATTATCAACCGAAAGAGATCTAATGCTGGACAAAAGCCTCCCCCAGTTCTCCACGTCGAACGGCGACCCGTATCCATTGGCTCCCTGCGACTCAGACAAGGTCGTCCGTCCGTCGTAGTAGTCTTCTGGCCCGTAGTCGCTACTCGAGCACTTTTCTGATCCATCGGCCGTCACATTAAGCAGAGAACCACTATTCATATTGACGTAAATAACGGAAAAGTAATTTTATTACTTTACTTATAGGTCCAAACAAGGATTTTCTCGTGTATCGTGGTCGTGGGCGTATTTACAAACATACAGATTTACATTGTAGTAATTCACATACACATCACACCTAGACCTAGAAGAACAATTTGTGGATCACACCAAGACGTTTTCCGTACGGGTATCAAACTTGCGACACGCAGCTGGTTGCCCAGCCAGCTGTCAACAGAGCAGCCAAACTAAAACAAACTCTCCTTGTTTGTTGTTGATTTTGTGTTTTTGTTTGAACACTCTAATCTCCAGAACTACTGGTTCGAATTTGATCAATTATTTTTGTATTAGAAAGACCGTTCATCGACGAATATCTATAAAACCCTTTTGAGTTAACAAACAACTTAGACAGTAACCTTACTGTCTAAGATGTTTTAGTTAAGATTTTGTTCCATATTACAAATACATTCCAAACAAAAAAAAGTGTGGGAAAGCCATGCTTCGGCTTAAATGGGCCCGCTAAACCGGAGTGATACCACGGCCTCACAGAAAACTGGCGTGAAGCAATACTTGCGTTGTGTTTCGTCGTGTGAGCGCGTTACTGGAAGCCCAATCCTCCTCCCCTCCCCTATCTTCAATCAAACCAAACTCAAACCCCTAAAAATCCACAAGAGGCCTCATGTAGTACTTTAGGTTTTGTAGTAACTCCTTTGGAGTGTCCAAGGGCGGCGCTGATTGCTTACCATAAGGTAATCCGTCTGCCCGTTTGCCGACCTTATGACATAAGAAAAAAACCAAAACGCCCAATTTAACCAAATAGATAATCATTCTCGTATTCAATTTACCAATAGTATCAATATTACTGTACTATGAAATAACATTGAGGCACGTGTCAGTTCGAAGGGCGGGGCAGCCATGTTGCTTTTACAGTTGCTATGGCAACGTAAACTATGTATGTAGGTTAGTGTAACTACATAAACTTAATAGCTAACTACATATAAAAGGCGCATTTCCGTGGTTTTCAGAACTTGGTATGGTTTTAAAACTAGTTTTTTGTGAATTTATATTTTACTTAAGCTCTTTTATGAATTAGTTTTTGCAAATAGTTTTAATATGAATGATAGAAGATAGATTTCCTAGATATATAAATGGACTATCCAAAATAAAACAAATAATTACATTGTATTCGAACCAGCAGTTCCTGAGATAAGCGAGTTCGAACATACAAATTCCATATAGCTTTATTTATAATATCTTTTTATGGCTCAAAAGTTGGATTTTCTTTCACGAAAACCTTTATTAGTAACCATGAAAACAAATATAATAATTATTAACAATAAAACGTAGTTACGAACTAACTAATATACTTAATAAAAATACATGTATACAATAAATATAAATAAGTAATGCTGTTTGTTCCTATATGTACCCATTAAACATTAATTATCCCACACAGTTATTAACAAAGGCAATAAAATACCCCGTTCTTATATTTCATTTCCTGAAATTCAGTTGTTACGTGTTTGTTTAGTTATTTTCAACCATAGAAACATATTTTGCGTTATAATTGGAAACTTTTTAAATGAAACAAAACCTGTGATCAAGGTGGCGACGCGACGGTTTCTTACGGTAGGTCGGGTATTTCCAATAAGTCAAATTCAATACTCTTTTTGTTGATATGTCAAAAATTATATTCTTCTATGAATTTTGTATGCACACTAACCATAACAATATGACGTCATAATAAAAAAAATACGTTCCTATTCCTATCGTCAAATCAACGAACGAAACTATGATTATATTTTAGACTAGCTACTCCCGATCGGTTTCACCCACTGCTCGGCTCCATTTAATCGTAGCGTGATGTTTTATAGCCTGTAGCACTCAAGAACGTTCTAGCTATCTATCAGTGAAAGAATTTTGGAAATCCGACCAGCGGTTCCAAACATTCTCCCCTACATACAAACTTACAAATTTAACCTCTTTATAATATTAGTATAGATTGAATAATTCACCGTACTGAAAAGTCTAAATACTTAATTTTTGACCTAGGAAACTACCTAATTGTATCCAGTGCATAAAAATAGACTTTTATGTAGGCTGGGATTATTATGCGTCATATAAAGGGTAGCAGAATCAGACCCTGGCATTGGGTGTTCCACGCATTCAAAGACCTATCAGACAAACCACAAAGGCCTGCCAGGGTTGCGGACAAGGCTAGCCAAGCAACATGGTCCCGGCACAGGTCAGGAGTTGAAAAGAGAAGGGTGGATATTATTCAAAAAGAGACTGACACTCTCTCTTCACCATGGTAATTTGGTAAATTGTGACCTTATAGAACATATGGGGCCGAATGGAAGAAAGAAGGAAAAACACTTGTTTCTATCTTCCCTTTCCAAAAATAACAAGCGTGACGTTTTTAAACGTTATAAAATATTATTTAAAACATGTAAGTAAACCTCGTTTCTAAATGTTGTTATAGTTTTTATACTGCGAAACTTTTACAACTATCAACTATTTAACTCAGTGTAACTTACCTATAACTTTTATAGGAGTTACTCGAATAACTTCTAAACTTTATAAGTTAACCGTTAAGCGTTAACTGTACGTTTGAACGGCAGTTCTGTTATTATAAATACATTTCAAAGAATTTATTCGTAAATACGCTTTTATTTAAATTAATATTTTAAGTTTAACTTCGGTGAGATAATGTTTGTTTTACAGATTATGCTTTTAGAATAGAATAGAATAGATTTATGCTTACTAATATCAATATATTTTTTTATTATTTATATGTAACAAAAAAGTATCACAGTTATTATTACTATAAACTATTTCCCGCAATAAATTCACAATGACGTAGCGGGAAAGATATTGACATCTGACATTTCAAATAATGTAGGCAAAGATATCATGTTATACAGCCTAAAATATGTCATCCCCTAAATATTGACACACCCATGGCTGTCGTACGATCCAAATATAGAGTGTAAAGCGACGGGCACGCGAGGCGGCGGTCAGTGCGTGCGCCCAGACTGTGGTATTGATCCCACCACCTGCCGGCCACCACTCCCACCCGCTACACTTACTTCTTCTAGTCGGCCATCGCCCCGCGACACGATACCACATTAAAATAAAACACAATAAAGAAAACAATTTAAAAAATAAACTCCCGTCAATTTGCGCGCCTAAATGCGCGTTCCAAGTTCGAATAGTGACGCGTAATAAAGTGTTCGATTCGCCAAATTTTCGAATTTATTTTTTTATAATACTTTTTTTCTTTCGAGCACGTGTTTCACAAGCAATGATAAGTGTTCTAAGTGCCTAAACAGTGTTGCTAGAACTTAGTTTAGTAATTGTTCGCGCAATGAAGTGAGTCACGTCGTGTCGACCTGGTTCTTGGATGTCAGACATTATCTCAATTTACGGAATTAAATTTCGTAATTACACGTCAGTTAGACCATTCGCTAAAGTTAAATTGTCCTGAATTTTCCGCGCGCCGTCTCATTAAAATGTAACAGTTCAGTGTTCATTCAGTTCCGATGTATCTAGTAGAACATAAACAAAACGCGTTGAGACCTAATTTGTGAGCAGTAACAATATAATTGCTTTCACCGCGGCGTACCGTTGCAACAATAGATTGCAAAAAGGAAATTATTATCAGCCGTCTATCAGATGCAAATTATTATCGCGCCACTTATCTAGTCCCCTCTAGATAGAGCGAGAATGGTGATATTCCCGTCTCGCGCGACACACTAACTCGATCGAGCGTACTAACAGATTTTTCTTGTAAGTACCTATCTATCAGCTGTTGGAGTCGGTCTGTGTGAGATTGCGGGTGTATTTTCCCGTGAGGAGGGGAAAATGCATAAAAATTTGCATAGCATCACGTCACATAGGTAGTTAGTGGCCGTGTAGTGAGTCAGAGCCGGCCGGTGGCGCGGACGCGGCCAATTACGCTTTTTGCGCGAACAATTTTCTAAATTCAAAACAGATAACGCGCTTCTGTCTAGAAAACGAAACGTAACGATTTTTTTTATCGATATTTTCGAATGTTTACGGATATTTTCGAGTGTTGTGTATGTTGGCTAGTGTTGGTGTTGTGAAGTGATGTGATTGGTATTTTATCGATTATTTTTGAAAATGGAGCGAAGTGTTTTGGCGGAGTCGAGGCACGTTCAGTGGGCATCTGAAGTGAGTACTGGCTGCTGATAAATATTACATGCGTCATGCTTCTATGTATTTACAGATTCTTGTATTTACACAATACATTCACGTGAATGTTTGATTACATTTCACACGCGTTTTTGCATATTATTACAGAGACATATTACGACAAATTGTCTTCTTATTGAGTTATCTACATAATTTTATTACCACGCCTGTGACTCTATAGAAAGATAGGAATAAATAAATAAAACGACGCTTATTCTTCAACCATAAAGTCCGCATCACATGGTAAAAAATACAAAATTCGTTTCTAAATTAAATCGGTATGCGTGTGCGCATAGAAGCAAAAGCTTTTTTTAATTTTCTCATTATTTAAGTGTGTTACCAAATCAATTACCTTACTTTGTGGCCATGTTTGGAGCCATAGCCTAGAGGCCACCTCAGGGATTAATCTGGCTGAGTACGTAAACAGCCTTCGCGTGCTGTGGTCCTATAAAAAAAAACTTATTTAATATCTCTCATACGAGTTGGTCCCAACATATGCAGCCTCACAATGACGATGAAAGATTAATAATCTATTAGGTACTTACCTGTCACGTGGATAACCTGTAGCACAAAGAACTACGGTAGTTTTCAACTACCTAGCGGCTTTGGATTCAGTGGAAAGGCGTGCAAAGAGGCTGATTGAAGATCCAGATTTGGTTGGGTCCAATCTTCAAAGTCTCGAGCACAGGCGCAGAGTAGCCAGCCTTGCGGTTTTCTACAGGATGCATTTTGGAGAGTGTGCCCAGGAATTGCACGATTTGATTCCGCCATCCCAATTTCACCTTCGGACATCCCGGCGTACGGCGAATATCCACCCCTACGTTGTTGAGACACCTGCGGCCCGGACTAAGCGTTTTGCCTCGTCATTTATACCGCGTACATCGAGTCTCATCGGGTCTTTCCGTCCGAATACAATTAAGGTGTCTTCAAGGCTAGATTGAGTAGGCTCTTAATAAACTAGTGCGCCTTACCATCAACGATTGCATCACTGCTTACCATCAGGTGGGATCGCAGTCAAGCACTAGTTTATTGCAAGTAAAAAAAAAATAGTCAAAATCAATACTTTCATCCAAATGTCAACTATGCTATGAAATTTGTATGCACTCAAGTTATTTAGGTACAAACTAGCTGGAGTTGCAGGTCAAGTACAGCGGCCCCGGCCAGTAGGAGAAGGAATGAGGGGGTTTTTAGTTAGTAAGAGTCTGACGCTCCCCCTTGCCTCACCCTGGGCAACAGAAGATTTGGAGGAATGAGAGAACAGGGTGGAAAGTTCCTCATCCTCAATTGAAAAGGGAGGATCCTTCGACCAGACTGGTGGGCTACTGCCGGACTGTTTTTGTCGGTGTTTTGTATTTATTGGTTCTAATTGTGTAGAGAACTCTTATACCGCGATGTAGAATCTTGCACGTGATTGGTGCTGTTGTTAATGTTGTGCGATAGATGTCGCTACATCACTCCCCTCCGAGACCGAAGGTCGTCAGCATTGAGTTGTCTGAATATCTTGAGATGCTCGTCGAGACAGTTGATAGTTCCAGTGAGTCGGAACCGATGTCGCATAGTTCACGGTGAGTCGGAACTTTTTGGGTGCCCCAGTGAGTCAGGGTGATGATGCATATTACCTCCAGTGAGTCGGAGAGATGCATTGCTGCAGGTGCCCCAGTGAGTCGGGGTGATGCTGCACATTAGCTCCAGTGTTTTGATGATTTCCCCCCACGACAAAGAATGAGCAAAGATTTAGTGTCATTTTTGATTAAAAATGAAATTCTCAGTAAGGCGTTTAAAATTTTATTGTAAATTAGATCAAACTTTACTTGATGTGTAAGTAATCATTTGCAAAAACATAATTGTTAAGTATTTAATTTTAATATGATATCATCTCTGCATACCCCTTTCTTAGAAAAAGAGGCGCAATTCCATATCGTGCACATATAAATAAATATTTAATTTAGGCTGTATCACTTATGACCTTTGCCATCCTCGCGTGTGAAACGACTTTGCCAGTGTGAATTAAAAATGTGAACGGGATTTTTTTATTATAGCAACACACACATGCTTACCTATACGTGTTGTTACTGTCTGGTGTCTGTGCCATTGTTTTTATAATCTGTAACACAATGCGTCAAATCTTTTGATGTTATACTTTTTGTAAGGAAAAAATTGATTGTTTTATGTTTTTATCTTGCCGTGTTTTATTACAAGAATTTTAGAATGTAGCTTTTAGTGTGTTTCGCAAATTTGATTTTTAAGACGTGGTATCTTATTTAATCCTACTCTAAAGTTTGGATGAATGGGTGGATGGATGTTTGTTACTCTTTTGTGTAAAAACTACTGGACGGAATTTGAAGAAAATTGGTACAGTCACCTGCACATCAGTAAAAACACTTTGACCTTGAGACCGCCTCTATTCCATACGACATAAGAGCTATTTTTGTAGTTCAAATGGGTACACTGATGTGACTGTAAAGAGATAGATTGTCAGAATTATACATATTATGCTACTTTTCAATCGGGGGACGTGAGATAGTGCTTTTAATTTATTTTATTTATTGTTTTGTAAATCAAAAACAATTGACTGTTTAGGGTAGCTCCATGTGCTAGTAAACGTATTTAAATTCATATTAATGATATTATCATTGATACGCTGCGTGATGTTAGACGGTCACTACGCTAGCCACGCATAATTTTGAACCTCGGTTTCAGTTCGAAACTAATCGAGCATTCTCGAAAACTTTAAAAACGTAAATCTAATATTGTTTAAATAGACGATATTTAAGCATCCTTCTAATTGATATATTTTTAACCTTTCATACGTCCAAACATAATTGGTTAAAAACATATAACGTATCTGCAGTTAAAACAACATTAGTGTACCGCTAAAAGCTTTTGGAACTAAAAAAACTATGCACTTCTATTCTATATTTATCGCAATCAAACAACGGATGTGAAACTTTATTTTTAAAAATAAAGATGCAAGCAATGATCATAACCATTTATCAATCATAGGTACGTTTATTAATAAAATATAGGAATAGACGCACTTAACTGTCTGTCTGTCAGACTCAGGAACAATTAAATTCGTTACTGTTTGGATATTTTTGTAACAACGAAAGTTTTTGTAAGCCGACGAGAATGTATATTATACAGACTCTTACTGACGAAAACTCCCCCGTTCCTTCTCTTGTATTGAACCGAGGCCGTAGTGACTGTTTGCGCTTGCCCCGCAACTCCGGCTGAACATCAGCCCTATAGGGCCCCGTCTTTGGTGGTCTATTGGCTCTTTGAGGCGCCCGCGGAACGCTACGCGCCGTACGCTCGGGTCTGGTACTGGTCGGGCGGCGAGCTATTCTTACACGCCGTCCGCAGACCCGAGCTTATAGTGCAGTTCATAATGGTCTATGTCCACCTTCTCTTTTATTAGTTGGGTAAAATTGTAATGTGGAAAGTCAGCTTGACTGAAGTGATAGCATCACAAATGGTGCCGGACCGGAGGAGCAGTCCTTCTTCTCTCCTTCTCCGCAATCTCCGAATCCCAAACAACCCATTAAAACCGTCAACGCATTCTTAACTCTTTTGCAACACCTATAGAGTTGCAAGAAGTGGGTGCCGATAAGCATCGATTACTTACCATCAGGTAATCGGACTGCTCGCTTGCCGCCATAAAAAAAGCTCGATCAACAGGCTACAAGAAACTCAGTAAGAGACTGGCACTCTCTCTCGCCACTATCTAGGGTGGTAAAACTCTTTGGAAGCTGATGTTTGCTTTTCAAAAAAGAGTTTCATTAACAACTACTTAGTCTCGCAAATCTAACGCTTACATTAATTTTGTTTTTGTATCAGTCTATTACTTAGAATTGGTTAACACAGTAACATCGATAAAAAATGCAATCTAAGTCTATATACTATGTAAGCCTTACTTACTTAAGCACATACAAAAAAATCGTGATTCAGTGTTTATATTGAGTCAGACGTATGTAACTAACAGTTATAGTAGTTGTCTTATGAAATGTTAATAGTATTTGAAAAACAACAGTAATTCTTTCATTTGAACACACACTTGGGCTAACCACCGCCGTGTCGTCAAGGAAGTCATCGGCGACGGTGAACTTTCGCGACCGGTCTTAGCCGAGGAGCGAGAGGAACTGAGAAACCCTGTGACCCTACAGCGCCGATGTTCAGCTGGGGTTGCGGGGAAAGCAAGGTAGTGCTTCCTCGGCCTAGAAAAGGAAAAGGAAAGGGGTTTAGTCAGTAAGAAAATCATCAATTGATACTCCCTAGTGACTCACCCTGAATCAAAAGAAAAATCCCTCACTTCAAAGTGGTCCCCATCTGTCTGTATTGGTATAATGGCTATTTGTGGTACAGTGAGTTACAATAGTGACAAAAAGTCTTCTCTACCGACATCACACGGTCTCCTTTCATATAAAGTTTAACAATCTAACAAAAAGATACAAAAAAATACCATCGCTGCATAAAATATATTGTCCGAAAATTAATCCGACATGGCGCCCACCAAACTTGACTGGCTGAAAACAGAAATTGTTGATTTAATTAATAAAGAGTGACACGGCTCGGCTGTCTGTCCGTATTATTGTTCTAGGGAAATGATTAATGTTACGAAACGCCCATTATTGTGTGGCGTTACTCGGTACCAAAATACAGTTTTTTTAATAAAACAATAGGTTCCAAAATGTTTAAGGATTTTGTATAAAGCGTCTGTTTAGGAGTTTCTTTGGTATAAAATGAAGCGATTTATTTAGACTGCTTTGTTGGTCGATTGTGTGTCGTGGTGGCCCGGAGGTTAAGGAGGCCGCTTCTCATGCATGAGAGTGTAAGTTCGAAACCTGGCAAGTACCAATGTGACTTTTCCGAGTTATATGTAGGTACTTTCTATGATTATTTATACACCACTGACATACGGTGAAGGTAAACATCGTGAGGAAACCTGGTCTTATAATTTCTAATTATAAGTTTGAAATCGC